TTTCNNNTCAAGGGGGAAAAAGGAAACATTTAAAGAAATCTTGACAAGGAGCCCAAAGAAATAATTATTCATAATAATCCAATTTCTGATACAGAAGATCGTCTATAAGACGCAACTGTAGAGCATACTCTTGTCATATTACAAACCGAGCTCTAGAGGGCAGAGACTCGTGCTGATAACGTGTTATAAAACTAGAGAGAAAGAGAGAGAATAGAGAAAATGTATTCTCTTAGGTGTGTTTTTCATTATAACTGAAGCTCCTATTTATAGGAAACTCCTGATGGCACAAATTGTAATAATACAAATATATTGAGGGCAAAATAGTCATTCACATACATTATTTTATTATTTCATAACACGTTGTTGGTCTTTTTCATGCGGTAAAAGAAAAAGATAATAACAAAAAATCCACACAATTTTATGTCAATGACCATTCTATCCCTCTTTCCTCCATCGACACTTATTTGAATTACTCCGCGTCAAAACCCTAAGCCCCAATTCCCAAAACCCTCGTTAAACCCACACCCGCGCTAAAATCCCACCTGCTAATGGCCACTGGACTTCGACTGGTGACAGAAAGAGACGGCGCCGGACGGCCAGTATTAGACGTCGGAAATGGTGAGGAGCTGATGCACGTCCTGCAGGGAGTCTCAATCGTTCTTGGCGACGGCCACCGCCCGCCTGAATCCCCCGGCACTCTCTACATCACTACCAAGTAAATGAAATTTCTTGCTCATGAAATCGTAGGAGTTCGAAAGTGTTTTTGACGCAACTAATCTTTTTTTTCTTTTGTCTGTTTGGAAAGACAAGTCGTGTGGTTGAGTGACACAGACCGAGCTAAGGGCTATGCGGTCGACTTCATCTCCGTGTCTCTACACGCGGTTTCTAGTGACCCTGAGGTTTATCCTTCCCCTTGTATATATACTCAGGTAAGGGTCATGATTGTATTAACACTAAGCTTCTCATGTTCATTATTTTGTATTTCTTTTTCTTTACCTTTTTGATGAAATAGAGTTTTGAGTTGCAATTGGAATTTTGTATGGATATTTGATTGTTACAATTGTGTATGAAATGAATGGAATAATATGAAATTTTCCAAGATTTGGGCTGTGTATCATCAAGCTGGGTTTATAGTGTAACTAATGTCGATAAGTTGCCTATTGTCATTCCAAAGCTGGCCTTTGGCAACTTGACAGATTTAGTAACAGCGATGCATGCAATAGCTAAAATCCATTGTATCTTGAAGTATTATGTGCCATTTGAATGAATATTGAGTTCGAAAATTGCATAAGCTGTGTGCACTTATAGCTATATATGTCGATGAACTTTTCTTATATCAGACGGCAGACCAACCTAATCTAATTATTTTACATATTTGTAAAATGATAACTTAATATGTTGGCATTTCCCTTTAGTTGGTAGTAGCTTTAGCTTCTGAGGAGGACTTTGCATGAATCAGGGATTTTTTTGTATGTATGGTTTCATGTTAGCTAGTCTAGACAGTCTCTTGTCTTCTAAGCAAGTCTCTACTTGCTGAACATTTGTGCTTTTTCGCTCTGTTTTGGAGTCTATTATCAGTGTGTTTTGGCCATAATAGGATTTTATATGTTTTTTTCAATGAACATGTTCACATTCGCATTTCTTGTATTTTCAAGATCGAGACTGGTGCTGAGGAAGATGAAATGGAAGACTCGGGTTCTGAGAATGACGATGCAGTAGACATATCAAAAATAACTGAGATAAGACTTGTGCCTTCAGATCCTAATCAATGTAACTATCAGTTTTTCCATTTTGTATAATCACTATTTAACTTCATTTTATTTTTAAATCTTTCTATCACCTTTTCCCTTGTTTCCTTCCGAATTCGTCCTTTCTAAATCTTTCTCTTTATATTACAGTGGATGTGCTGTTTGCAATATTTTGTGAGTGTGCCGAGCTGAATCCTGATCCCACAGAAGGTAATGATGAATCTACTGGGTTAAATTGCAAAATCACTTTTTCTTTTGTCTTTCATTTTTTTATTTCCATTCCCGAGCGTTTAACTAGGACTAATTATAACTTTGTGTATGCTTCCAGCTGAGGAAGAAGTTGAACACAATTGGATTTTCAGTGCTGATCAACTGGAAAATGATGGCGAAGGTACAAGCTGAATCAATAATCTCTTTTTGTTCCCTTTAGTTGAGCATTTTTTTACGTGTTCTCATCTCTTTTATTTCACGTTTGTAATTCTTTAGAGGATGATGGTCCAGAATGTGATGTCCCTGAAATCTCAGTGAATGCAATTGGTGCTAATGGGACTCATGACTTGGCTCATTCAGTGGTGCAGGTAAAGTTTAGAAATTCATTTTGTGTTTATACGGTAGAGCCAAATTAGTGCTGCTATCCTCTGGGTTATATAAATAATTACTGTACCCATTTCTTTTATCCGGCATTCCATATTTTAAAAGCTATTTGTGTTTTTTTTTTTTTCCTTTGAAGAATTAATTACTGTGAAAAGTCCGCAATTTACGTCTTACTTTGTTATAGTAGATTTTTAATGAATCTTCATCATGTATTAATATATAACAAGTGAACATAAGAAACTGACTTGTTTCGTGCAGCTTCACATAAACGATCAACGCTTTGAGGATGCAGAGGAAATGGAGCAGGAAAACAAAAACGGTCATCACTGAATATTACACTTTCCGGTGGTTTTATACTATTAGTCGCCATGGCTGTGGGCATAACGATGTTGTGTATCTCGTAATGTGGAGATTTTGAGACTATTATGTTGACTTTATCTCTTTGTGTTCTCCTATATGTGATAGTTATTAGTAAGTATAGAAGTTGTTGACTTAAATTTTTGGAGTGCTCTTACAATCGGTTTGTGATTTTTATGTCCACTCGATTGAGACAAGGGATACTGTTCTTCCCTCATTATTCTTGTTTTTTTCTGTTTGGTGGTAATCACATAACCATGTCAATTCGTAATTTTGTTTACTTGTAAATATATGAAATATATTTAATGATCAATCTAATATCATTAATATTTCATAGTTAGCATGCAGAAGAGGATGTGGAGACATCACTAGCATTAATTGTTGTACACATCATTACAACGTTACAAATTACATTTATTTGGACCAATCAGGTTGACATATTGAGTTACTCACCAAGTTTGTTGGATCACTTTGAGGTTATCTGTAAATAGTCTAAAAATAAGACACAACTTAAATAGCAACCTGCCTGATGACTCGGTTGAACAAAATTGATTATTGAAACTAAATATAAATTTTAATATTAAAAAAAAATTTTGACGATAAATATGATGTAGTCTAGATAAATAAATTAGAAGTGATTTTATTAGAACATGTTCATTATTCTATGAATATTAAGATATTATTCTATAAATATGTATGTGAACCCAATAATAATGTATCAAAAACTTTTAATAACATAAATTACACTTTAATTCATATTATTAATATATTTATTTTATAATACATTTTTTAATATTGCTTTCCGTGCAGCCAACGTGCTAGTGGTTGCTAAAAAAGGAAAACAACTACGTACTGACATATTTGCTAGATAAACTTCAAGTAAATGAGAAAATTTGCATATTTTATTATATGGGTTATATCTCATAAACCTAAAACATACTTTAATTTCTCCTAATTTATCACATTTCGCTGTATAAATACAACTAGTAATCACCCGTGCGATGCACGGAGAAATTATTATCTATACGCTTTTTAGGATGTACTTTTGTACATAAATTATGTAATAATGCAATGATCATGATCATAAGAATAGACATATAAACATATAATTAGACTGAAAAGATCATATATTATTGAACACTTTCCTATATACAACATTATTGGTTTGACTCTTTGGCATGCCATCTTCGCCAAAAATTAAGATTTTCAAACATTTTCGGTTAGTGACATGTGAGACAACAACATATAACTGGTCATGACTGAACACTGGTTTCTTAAGAAATAAGCAAACATGAGATAAGGATTGTCCATGGCTCTTGTTTATAGTCATGGCGCAAGAAACCATAATGGGAAACTGTCGCTGCTGGAACTTGAAAGGAATTCTAACATCAGAAGGAGTTATGGCCATTCTTGGAATCAACACCTTATCACCAGCATGATCTCTTGTGAATATCTTATACTTAAGAACATGACTGGATAACTTTGTCACAACCAATCGTGTCCCATTACACAAACCCATAGAATGATCCATGTTCCGCAACATGACCGAAGTTCCAATTTTCAAATACAACTCATGGTTCGGTATTCTGGAACACTTGATACTATTCAAAAACTCAGGCGTATGGAGATCAGACAAAAAATCATTATTAGAATTCGATTTGCATGTACTGTCAGAACTCAAGTACATACGACCATCCAACAAATTCAATGATGTCATGTACTCATTGATAGACTCGGCCACATCCAACGTCGGCCCTAAAATTCAAATTACAAATCAACTCCCAATTTTTCAAAGAATTTTAAAAAAGTTATCAATTGTAGTAAAATCTAAAATTTTAGGCGAGAACTTTTTTTCAACTTAAAGTAAATCCCTATTGTTATTTTATAGTATTAGATTGAATTTCCAAAAGAACTAAGTCAAAGGTTTTGACTCCAATTTTTTATCAAGTTTCTATAAATGATTTTTTAATCAACCTCTTTCAATATATATATATATATATATATAAATATAGATATATAAGTACATATATAGTACTCCCTCCTTTTTTTAATAAGTGTCATTTTGAAAAGTTGCACAGTAATTAAGAATTTTTTTTGTCAATAATTACCCTCATTAATGAGGATAGAGATGAATGTTTTGAGAAAAGATGAAGAATGAATATGAAAAGATGTAGTGTATTTATTAGCTAGATTGGGGTAATAATGAAAAAATATGTACAAAAGATCCAAAACGTCATTTATTTGGTTAATTGTTAATAAAGTCAAAATGACATTTAAAAAAAAAGGAGGTAGTATCTATTAATATATATATAAAAAAAGGATTTATTATATATAATAATTTAAAACTTACCAAGAATATTTAAATTACTTATAACGAAACTTGTTTTATATGGCTTGATATTACATTTACATTGATATATTTTGATCTCCTACAATCATGCTCCCTAACTAACTAATAAATTAGATATCCTTGCTGTATATATTTCACATGTGACCTTTCAATTCGGAAAGAATCAATTGACATTATCCTCATCCACAATTCAACATCATCCTCCCGAGTTTTTTTGTTAAGAAATTGATTCGAATATTGCTTTTAAATCTCATTTTTATACTCAAATTGCACGTGATTTTTAACAAATTTTCCTACATTAGTAAGTCAAACAAATTAATTAATAAGTCAAACATTCTATTTAAGTATTTTTCCAACAACTTTTTTATATATATTAAAAAGAATCATTATTTACTCGTGACAGTGAAGCCGATTTTCCTACCAATAAATTGATTTTTTATAAAACAAATTGATCCGAATATTTTTGTAAACCAAATAAAAAAATCATCAATTTTTCCTAAAAATGCAACCGAATTTTTCTAACAATGCACCGATTTTTTTATCAAACAAATTGAATTGAAAATAATTTTAATAAAAAATTGAAACAATTTGTTAATGTTTATGCAGCTGTCTCTTTCCTAAAGAAAATGATATGAACTTAAAAAAAAAATGATATGAACTTACCAAAATCTCGGTAAAACATGGTTAAGAAAAAAATGAAATTGTTTTATTTGGTTTGCCAATAGAAAAGCAAAAAATATGTGGATCTAATTAAAAAATAACTACATGAGGACAAAAAATGCTCATTTTATTTTTGTGTTAAGTATTTTTAATTTATATTTTTTACTTTTTTATTAGCTAATATTGCATGTGAACTTTACTTATTCCTATATTAGTTTATTTTTAGAATAGTAATATTTTCTTTATTTATTTGAAAATTATGAAAACTATGCTGTAACGCCCCGTTTTATTTTAAAGAATTTACCGAATTTATTTATAAAAATCAGAGTTTATTTTTCGCAAAATCCCAATTTAAAACTTTAACACTCAACGGGCGCTACATAAACTACTGAAACAAATAAACATTTACTCAGATAAAATTTAACAGTTCAAAATGAAATTTTAAGTTATCCATAAACTTCAAACCAGTCATGCATAATTAAAATATTCCAACATGTTTGAAATAAATAAAGCGGAAGCATCATTATTCAAAGTTAAACAAATAATCTAACATAGTTCGAAAGTGAAACCAGTAAATAATCCAAGGCAAGTAAATAAATATCAAGGTACGGAAGCATAGGTTTATCAACACATATGACCACCATCTCGCTCGTCCTACGCCACCGCCTCCAGCTCGTCTTATCCTAAAACAAAGGAAGAGAGAAGACAACAAGAAAATAATGGGGGTGAGCAACCAACTAGCTCACCATTATCGCACAGTTATTCCGTATAATTAATTTAAAAGTAGTATTACGTTAAAACAGTTCCAGTATCGGTATGCACAGAATTCCTAGCCTAAACCCCCTACCCAGCCCTATCGCAAAACTCCTATGTACATACAACAACCTTCCGACCAAACATCGGCAAGGCCGTAACTGGAAAATTTCCCCCACCCCGAACCACACACGGATCATGGGAGTCCACCCCGAACTATTCACGGATCATGGATGTTTTCCAGGAGACAGTGGAGATGTTTTTCCCCCCCGAAACTCACACGGATCAGGGTGTCACCTCCCGGATACAACGGGCAGGTGACCTCTCACTGTTATGCATTCATCAAAGGCACTAGCGTTCGGGACACTTAGACTAGAGTTCTCATGCATACAAAAATTTTCAAAGAAATATTACACGAAATAAAGAAATGCGATAATTATGGAATACATCATAAATGTACCCACCTGGTAGCGATCGAATCAAATACACAAGAATAGTAGTCGGCGAGGTCGACTCGTCAAACACCTACATTTATTAAAATAGTCTTATCAAAGACTATTCAATAATTTACTTAGCTCAACTAAGACCACGTAAGCATTCAAGCATGCATTAGATCAAGGAAAACACATTTCATAAATATCACATAAGTTTTGAAAAAGTCAACCCGGCAGCGTTTTTAGAATCGACATAATTTTCATCACACAACTCGTATGAACATCAATCAAATTGCATTGTAATCTTAAGAGATAAATCTACAATTCTTATGAAGACACTGAAGGCAAATGAGGTCATTTAAAAGGTGATAAATCAACAAACATAAAAAAATGAGTTACAGTCCAAAACTGGGGTAATGCACTTGACCAGCCCTCAGTAATTACTCTCTAACTGGAGCTACAGACATGATTTTAATGAAATTCAAAAACTACATGATAGCTAACTCAAATTTCTACAACTTTGATGAAGGTCACTTTGGAAAATAAATACATTTGAAATGAGTTTAAACACAAAACATTTGGTTCAGCAAATCTGTCAAGAATTAACATGTGATATGGACAGCACTTTAGTTTTTACAACCTAGACCGAGCTACAGACCTTCAAATGACATGGTTCAAGTCTCAAATTAAACATTAGAAATTTTTCTACAACTTTCATTTAGAACACAGAAACATATGAGCTCATTTGAATGGTCAAAAAGCTGTTAACATTCATATCCATGTTTCTGCCAACAGTATTATTCCTAACTCATGCATATCTATCTTCATAAAATCATAACTCGAGCTACAGAGCACGTATCGACAAGAAATCTATCTCATTTGAAAGGCAAGAAATATATCTATAACTTCTATGAAGAGTGTAAGTTCATACGAGCACATTACGACATGATAAACAGGTCACACATTAATTACAGATATGCTGCCGAGTAGCAGGAAAACTGAACGCGCAACATTTTTGTAAAAATCATAACTTTATCGATATAGCTCGAAATCGAGAAATTCCAAAACCCAGGTTTAGAAAACTGAACATACTACATTTCATGTGAAGACCACATTTTCAAATAACCAGTCTCCGATAGCTTAAAATGCGGCACAACAGATCAGCGAAAAACGTATTTTCACATAAAATACCAACGAATAAAAACGGATGTTTCGAAACTCGACGACGGTCAATATACTTTCTCGACAGCAAATAAACGAGCATATTGAGGTTCAACATGATACTCGATTTAACTAAGGTTACGAGCATAATTCAATAAACGAAACGACATATACGAGCCGGTAAACATTCGAAATAAATCCGACTTCAAACAAGAATTCGGAAACACGTATGATATACATATATATCTATCATGTAATATACGAATACGACCGGAATAACGAGAGGGTTCGAAATAGTTACCCACTCTCGAAAATTCACGAGCTAACGGAGGAAAAACGGGCCGGACGACGGCTCGGCCGAACGGAACTCGGAAAAATGAAACGAAAAGAGACGAACGGTGAGCTCGCGATTAATGACGGTTGCTCGACGGCAAGCTTCGTCTCGCAAGGAAGAGAGCTCGTAGTGCTGGAAGTCACCGGAGTTGCTGCTCGAAGGAAGATCGAACTCGCCGGAAAATCTCACGAACAAAGATCACGAAGAGGTGCTCACGGCGTGACGGGATTTCTGCTCTCGATGGCTCGCCGGAGTTGCTGCTGTCGCTGCGGAGGAGGCTCGCCAGAAATGCTGCTGCGTTGGTCGGAGGAAGACGTCCGGCTTCTTCTCACCGGAAGAGAGCTCGCAAACGGAGAGAGGCTCGTCGTCGGGGCGCTGCTCGCAGAGGGGGAAGGGACTCGCCGGAAAAGAAGCTTGCGGCGGCAAGGAGTTACAGGCGGCGTGACGGAGAAGGAGAGGGTCGCCGGAGGTGATGGGGTCGCCGGAAATGGTCGCGACAGAAGTTGCAGGCTCGGGGAAGCATTTTCGCAGGAAAAAAAAAATGACGAAGGTGATGAAGATGATGATGGCTTTTGAGGATGATGATGATGATCTCAATTTGTCCAAACGAGAGATGAGAGTTGAGATTTAAAAGAAAGAAAAACACATGCTCAAAGAGTGATTCTCGGATCGGTGAGCTGGAGAGTGGAGATTGATGCTATTTCCATGAGAGGATATAGATACATGAGTTGTATCTAAATGATTTATGTTGACTTTTCTCACTTGCAAGCACATCACACGAAAATGGAAAACCGGGTTTTTGCTCCCGGCCGATTTGATCACGCAGGAATACTCGGGCTCGATTTCGTTCCAAACGGACATTCTCGGGCCCAATTTCGGTTCCAACAAAAATTTTCGGGTTCGATTACGATTCACGCGAACATTCTCGGGCTCGATAAAATCGCACGAAATACATTCGGCTCAGGCCCGGTTCAATCACACGAAAAATAAATCCAGCTCTCGGGCTCAGGTCCTCCGAATACTAATTTCGACAGTTCCAATCGATCGCACGATAAAAATAAATCGAACTATAAATATATTTCACATATATTAATACACATTTTTCTCATTTAATAATTAATCACAAAAATAAATTAGACAATTAGCATTTAATCACATTTAGGGATTTTTAATAATATTATGACATTCAAGAGAAAATAAATATAAATAATATCACAAAAATAATAATAATAATAATAATAATAATAATAATAATAATAATAATAATCCACAAATAAATGAGACATTACATATGCTATTAAATATACATTTTTATGAAAAAATTTAAGAGGAGTTTCAGAAATGTGACAAATAAGATTTTCGTTATATATCAAAAATATTTTTGTAAGCTTAATGAATTTACTTTTAAAATAAAAAAATATATTTATATTTCATCATTTAGTCATAGACAATCATATATTGTTATTGTTTTATAGAGTCACAAATCTCTATTGTCTAATAATTATTATTATTAGTGACGGTGATAGTGATAATGAACATTGTCCATCTACTACTAATGGTATATTTATAGAAGTATTTTTAAATGTAGTAATAAAAATTATATTCTACCTTTTATTCTCTCTATACAAGGGTTTTTGAATAATTTTTTTATTTAAATTATTATTCATCCACATCACGATCTAAACATGCCGCGCAACGCGCGGGTGACGTACTAGTAAAAAAAAAATATAGCAAGAACAAGACATTTGAAAATCACAAATAGAGCAAGATAATAGATAGACAGATATGGTAAACTGAGAATTTAACTTCTTGACAAATTTATTTTTTTATTTTTTCTAGCGATATCAAATTCCATTAACCAAAATAAAACTCAAGAACACGAGAACAGTGTCGCTTGCGTATTCAATTCGAGTTTTAAAATCATACCAATAATTCCAAAAAATCCTATACGATGTGGACATTTGGGTTGTTTGTGATCTCCCTTTCGTTTAATAAAAACCAAATTCATAGAGTTCATAAAGAGTTTGCAAAAGAACCCGGCTCGGCTAATTAATAAACAAACTTGTTCAGTTGTTCAAATTCAGCTTGTTTTAAGTAAATAAACGATCCAAGCTCAATTATTCACACGTCAAACTGAATTATCTTTGAAGACAAACTAACCCAAATTCAAATAACAACTCTAGATTATTGCTAGAGAGATGAAAAACAATTAAAACCATCACATTCGTCGTCACCATCCAAAGATACGAATCTGGAGAAAAAAAAAAGAAGAACAAATTATGTCAAAAACAATCGACTTGGGAAGGTACCAAATTTCTAGCCTGCAGTTTCGGCCAAACATTCTTGATATCGACCTTTCATTCAGGGTACTTTAGTATCAAGGCCCATTGAAAGTTATACATTCTTGTAAATACACAGATCTTGAAAAAAGAGAGAAAAAAAGAAAAAAAGAAAAGGAAAGGGAAATTGGGGGGAAATAGTTGAACACAAAGCTAAACTCTTTCATGTAATTGGATACACATAGGATCAGTACATATGAAAGAACAAACATAGAGTTCAGGGAGTAATCATATCACCAGAAGCTCCCGGAAGATGATGATTAATGCAACATAATCGTTTTCCATCAAATTTCACAATGCTGTGTAATATCTTCGTTTTTTTATCCACCGTGTAAAGTCGAGATGAAAACCACAGTATCCTTCTCTTCCAAAACTGTGTCAAGCTGACCACTTAATTCCCAATCACAGTCGTTTACGAGCACGAGAACTCCGGGTCTCCTGTATGAAATGCAATCCATTTGTCACTATTTCGTACAATGTGTTTTGTTTTACTGATTTATTTCTCCAAAGCAAGCTCATTTCGGCTGTGTTAGCTAAGCTTATAGCATATTTGATTAGTTTATAAGCTTCATGTGTTCAAATAAGCTTGCTTTGGTAAGACGAGCTTTTTTGAAAAGCTCGAGCTTATCTCATAAGCTTATTTGGGTAGCTTTTCAAATAAGCTCATTCAATTTTTTCTTTCAGCTAATTTTACCAAACACTTTTATCATATATGTTAGTTTTTCAGCCATAAGTCGTAACCTATCAGCTATAAGCTCGAAATTCAATTAAAAACTATAAGCCAGCTTATAAGCAAGGTTTACCAAAACATAGCCTTCAATCAGTCCTCCAGAACATAAAATGTAAAAAAGTTTGAAGTTTTATGTAATTTGTGAAAGTCCCATGTTTTCTTTTAACACAAATGATCAATTTAATACAAGTTCTAATTTCTACGTTAAGTCAATTCGATCCACTCTGCAAAAGTTTCATCCAAGAAGCAAAAAAAACTTGTAGATTAAAAGGCACAGACATGTTGAAATGACAAAATAAGCAAAATCCAAAACACGTTAGACACTCAGCTCTGAAATAAATTACAAGTAGGCCGATTAAATTACTTACACAGTATCGCCTTTCATAAACATTTCAGGTCTTTCCTTGATCAGATTGTGGCGAACCCACGAGAGCAAGTGTTTCATGGTTAACTACAGAAAGATCAAAGTAAGCATACCAAATTCAGTTAATAGTGTATAGAGAATAGAGTTAATTCATTTATTTATAAATTTTTTTTTTTTAAAGAAGGCCAGATAAAGTTATTCACCTTATGTTCTTCAGCTTGTGGGTCAACATTCACCTCATGGATCTTTACAGAGTCACATAGAAGCTCCAATCCACCACTGACATAAAAAATACACACATATATCTTTAAGTGGCAACATGAAAGGGGGAAAAAAAAAAAGAGGCGAGCAAATTACGAATTCCAATTAGAAGTGTGATGAATATAATTATCTTAAAAGCAAACACCAGATGAATAAGAATCGGTTTACACGCTATGACTACAAATCAAGTAACTTCATCTTCTTCAGTAGCTATATACATAGATGCTCGATATGCAAGATAAAAGATACGTTCTTAACAGTATAAATCACATTTTTTTTTCCTGTATAAACTCTATACAATGGATAGTTTAATAAAGCCATAATAACAACCACTTGAAGACTACAGAAATCAAACAAGGGTCAAATAAACTGAGCCAAGATTGCTCATTTTACTCGGTCAAGAAAAGAAACACATAACGATCCGGCATTAGAGCTATCAAAACACCTAAAAACCAAAATTGANTTTTGTAGTGGTGGTCGAGGCGCAAGTTAGCACGCAGCATTAACCTGTGAATCCCCAATTGAACAAGATTATATAAACTCAACTAATCAGCATAACAATGGTCTAAAATGCATTCAAAGGTCTCGGCCAAAAACAAAACTAAAAGGGGGGTTCAGCAAATTTTAAAAACGACAGGCCTCAACACATTCAAACAAACTCAATGATTCCAGCAAGCTTTTTAACTTCCAATTAAACTGAAACTAAACATCCAAATAACCACATAATCTCAGCCATCACTGAAACAAAACCAACCCTAATAACACGCCCCTTGTTCTCACACTTCAACCAAAAATGCACATGCTCTTCAAACTGAAAAATAAGCACAAAAAAGCATAGGATTTCGGCCAACAAAAGTACAAATGCAATATTTACTCAACCCAAAATCTGTTTGTCAGAAAGCAAGATATCCAAAGTCCAACTTCACGACATATACCCACAAATCATAACTGATCAAACTCAAATCGAATCAAATTCCCAACAATTATCAATTCAAGACCCACCACAAAGGGATGTTAAGAAAATACTTTCATCAAATTGAATTACCGTGAAAATAGAGAAAGAAAGGTGTTCGGGTGGGACGGCTCGAAATTGCTGCTGGGACTCGGAAAAAATATCCGGTCGCCTGAGATGCTGCTTTTCACTCTCCTGTATGCTCGTCTCAGCCACAGAAATGGTCAGGCCTCAACCGTGTGGGTTGCTTCTCTCACCTGGTGGCTCTCGTCAGAATCTGGTTCGGGCAGGGGGAAGGTGCTGCTCGTCGGTCGCCGGACTGAAACCCGTTGGTGGTGCTGCTCTCGATCGCTGGACTTAGTTTTGTCGACTCTCCGTGTCTGGGCTCGCCTCGCTGTCGGGAAGTGGTCAGCCTTCAGGGTTTGTCACCGTTGGCAGAGAAGGGTTTAGTACATCGAGAGAGGAAATGAGAACTTGTGACGATGATTGGGGTTAGGGATTTGGGCCATATGTTTTATTCAAATTGGGCCCAAGTGTTGGGCTGGGTGGGTGGGATACTCTAGATGTACAACTTTTATTTTTTTAAAGTGGTCAGCCTGCGACATTTGATGTCCAGAAATCGACACCGACCAAAATAACTGGAAAATTATGAACATATAATAAAAAACGACCGATTTTCAGATATAAATCGACTCTAAATTTTAATTAAGACTAAATTTGTGCAACTAAAAATGAAAATTTAAGATTTTAATAGAATATAATATTGTCTTTTTCTCAAAATTATATTTATTTAAACATTTCATACCATTATAATTATAATACAGAATAAGACTAAGAAAAATACCGACAAATTTAAGTAAGTTAAATAAAAAAAAAAATATTGGCGGGTCAGCCTGGACCCGGTCCGCCAGGCCAAAAACCCAGAACCGGTCAGGTCAAACTACGGGCTCAGTTGTGGGCCAATTGACCACAGGCCGATTCAGGACAGATTCGATCGATTAGGGTCGAACTGGCGGGCGGGACCATCCCAACGTCGTGACTAGTAAGATGAACCCGTAAGATATAAACAGGAACATGCATACAAAAACCTCTACGTTGATTCGCTAAAAAGTGAGGTTCATTTTATTGGATCAATAGTTTAAGTGGCGTTCATTCACAACTATCATAATTATCAATAGACTAATAAGATATTAATTGTATTTCATAACTAAATCTTGACCATTGGATCTCAGCGGCCTACTAACTCAAAATTTTTTATACATGACGCCCATAACCGGCATAGTCAACCACAAGCTCGGTTCTGAACCGGTTGACTATGGGCCGGTTCCATAGACCTGGCCGGGGCGGCCCAGGGCCATGACTAGTACTCTAAACCTGTAAGATGTAAACATGAACGTGCATACAATACATTTACTTTGATTCACTACAAAATATGAACTTCTACTTTGATTCACTAAAAAATGAGGTCATTTTTATTGGACTAATAGTCTAAGTGAGATCAATTCACAACTATGAGAATTATTTGTAAACTGATAAAAAAATTACGATTCTATTAAAATATGATTCTATTAAAAAAATATTTTGTCATTAATAAATAGGATTACGATTTTATTAATTAATTATATTAAAAATAAGTGTATATTATAAAACAACAATTCTATATTCTTTTCAAAATTTGTTGCATGGGTTGATGTTAGGTTGATTATTGTAAGATATGTGGGAAAGTAGTTTAGGTGATATGTGGAAAAAATCAAATTATTGAGGAAGCTTTCACGTTGGACGTTTCTGGGTACATTAAGCTTTCCTTAAAGAAGTTTGTTGTTGTCCTAAGCTTTCTTCTAGAACGTTTGTTTAGATTCAAAGGTTAACTATAAGACGTTCCATAAAGACTTAAGAACGTTTTTTATGCTTAGTGTATAAATGAAAAATTGCATATTTTATTATACGGGTTATATCTCATAACCAAAAACATACTTTAATTTCTCCTAATTTATCACATTTCGCTGTATAAATACAATTTATCGTTCAAGAAAATTACGGGTAGCCCAACTATTAAGCTGGAGACTTTATTGGCTTTATCACATTCAATAAATTAGCCTCCGATCCCCGTCATTAATTTGTACAGCAAAAAGGCAAATCCTAGCTAATTAATTGAATGCTTGCTAAAGTTGTTGGACTAAAAGATTTTCATTCTACATCATATATTAAGTGCATGCACACTTCTTCTAAGCCCATGCCCCCTTTCTCTATATAAACAAACTCGTGCTAAGTTGCGTTTTCATATCCAACAAGGAGTTCTCATACACAACATAATAAACAAAATGGCTAGCCCAAGAGCTTTCTTGCTCATTTGTGTGCTAACATTTATTGCAAATGTTTTAGTACACAAAGGCGAGGCTCGTGGGCTTCGACAATCGACAGCGAACCCTTTGGCCGATAATGATCGTAATTTTCCTTGGTTTCCCTTTTGTCCTTCCATTGGGCTCCCATCGCCTAAGTCACCACGTGGATCGCAGGCTAATTTGAGGCCCAATATTGGCCCATTCCCTTTTCCTCCTGGGTGGCGTCGTCGTTTTTGCCCAAGAAGGCCGTTGAGATTTTTCGCTCCGCCATCACCCCTACCATTAGTACGCGCGCCGCCGCCGCCGCCACCGTCATTTTCATTATTACCACTTTTGCCCCCGCCACCACCACTTTCATCATTACCACTTTTGCCACCCCCAACTGCAGCTGCTCCGGCTCCGAGCAAATAGAATTTTCTTGAAATAAATAATTGGAGTCTCCGTTTTGGGGGCGTGAGCGAAAATAATGTCAAGAATAATGTGGACCGATTTGTGGTATTTTTATTTTATGAACTTGTGAGAAATAAGTCGGGATATGCATGTGTATGTGCTTGAATAATAAATAATAACGCTTTTTATGACATCGTTTATTTTGTACTAATAGAGCTTCAGGTAATGTGATTGGAGAAATTCGAATCCTAACTGTGGACAATGTCCACAAGAGTCTTATCACAACGGTTATACATTTATATACACTCGCACAAATTTGTGTGGATCGTAGAATGATAAAGGCGGGCAAGTATGAAAAGAATGTCAAATTGAAGACTAATAACAATATGAAATACGCACGCACACTATGATTGATACATCGTTAAATCCACACACTTTATCACACTACTAAAAAATAATCGTTTGTGGGGCGGCCCACCTCACCCCGCAAACGTCCGGAGCAGTCTTACCTTTTTCAGGCGGGCCTGAACGGCCAGCCCTCATGGGCCGGGGACTGGCCCTCCAAAATGATATAATTAATAAAAAGAAATTAAAGAGGATATAGTACACCAATTATTATCTTGGCCCAAACTTACAAGATGCTGTAGGCCCACCGTGTTATTTAAGCCCAAAATGAAAAACTTAACCCTAGACTTATAAAAATCATTTTAGAAATTTTCGTCCCACCATTTCAGAAGTCGAAGCTTCAGTCATCTCTGATCCGCGGCGCTCTTTTTGATTCTGCTCTGGTGCGAATTTCTTCAATCTTGCAGTTATCTAACAATCCTGTACCTTTTATTTTTACTTATGTGTATTTATTTATTTTTATGCAGAAGAAAACGAAGGCTGAGGAGAACAATGGCGTACGCATCAATGAAGCCAACGAAGCCGGGTTTGGAAGAGACCCAAGAGCTCGAACATAGGATTCGTATTACTCTCTCTTCAAAGAATGTCAAGAATCTTGAGAAAGGTCGCCTAATTTGTTACCCTAAATTAATCCTTCTTATCCGTTGTCTGCTCATTTTTTTTGGTGAATTTTCAACATGAATATTCTGTAAGATTTAGAACAATTTGATTTTTTCTTTCTTCATTGGTAGATTGATTTACGTACAGTGCAGATTGTGCAATTTTGAGCTCAACATGTACTTTTTTTTGTTATAGATGGTCATTATTCTGAGTTTAATTTGCAGCTTTACTCATGAGTTTTTTATTTTTTTTGGGCATTTAATAATATAATAAACCCCAACATCTGTCTGCATTCTGCTCTACCAGTTTTTAACTTGTAATCTTGAGATAATAATTATATTTCAATGTATTTGCTGACCATTTGGATGTCCCATTTTTTTACTGGGTTTTACACAAATCATTTTTGCTTCTTACTGCACTGGCTTGTGGAAATTGTGTCAAACTTGAGTTATAGTTTTTGTTTTAAACTTTTTTTTTCATGGATTGAGGCCTTATTGACTTGAATAATGTTAACAGTATGTGCTGACTTGGTACGTGGTGCCAAGGACAAAAGGCTTAGGGTCAAAGGACCAGTGAGAATGCCGACTAAGGTTCTTAATATCACTACTAGGAAATCCCCCTGTGGTGAAGGTAGGAATATTGTTACGAATTCTTGAGATTTTTTTTTTTTTTTTCATTTCACCAGTAGTCTTTTGTGTATATTATTTTTAGTATTCTAGTGTAAANCAAGTATTTTTTTTTTTTCCTGTAAAAAAGTTTGTTCATATCAGTAGATGAAAAGTGTCTGTTTGACTTGCGAAATTTAAACCTCTAATATTGATTACCTTGGAAAAATTCTCATGATTGTTGGTGATGAACTTTTCTTTTGGATAGTGACATTTCCTGATGTTTTACCTCATCCTGGCTTGAATTTGCTGCTATTTGTAATTCTTGTAGGCTACGTTTGGATTGAGGGATTTGAATTCTGTAGATTTCAGATTTACAAATCCATTTGAAGGAGTTTGAAAGTAGCAAATTTAAATTCAAGGGATTTCAAATCCCTCGAATCCAAATTTAGCCTTAATGAATTTGTACTCCTTTGCCATCTATTTTACTTCGTTAATTTTCTTGGTTTTGAACCTGTACGATGTTGTGATATGCCTGGGTTTAGTTTTTTATGTTCGAGTGTGTAATGGATCTTTGGAATGAGAGCTTGTCTTGTATTGCTTATTTGTCGAGCTAACTTACTTCTGATGTATGTCATGTCCATTTAACGTCCTATTGATGTATTGACCTAAA